GCAGTGAACACTCAGGGCAGAAGGACCTCAGACCAGGGTTGGGGTGCCCCATAAATAATCTCTGGAGATTCTAGAATCTGGCAGCCAATTAAGTGGTCAGCTCCCTTAATCGTTTCATGATGTCACAGAAGTAATGTGGAAAGGCAGCCCTGGCCCAGTGTGGGGGAGGGGTATTTGGGCAGAGATGGGGTCCCCAGCTTGTTTCTTGTCTGAAAGTACAGAAAAGCATGTTTCAGTTTGCCTGCAAAGGCTGTCATCTGCTGCCAGGCACCTTGTTTCAGGGGGCCAGGCCCTGGATGGGTTGACAAACGTGCCCCTGGCTCTACCCCCCTCCTTACAAACAGGCAGGCCTGTGGCTGCCTTCTGTTAAAGGGCCAGGCCCTGGCAAACCCTGGCTCAGCTTCTACCAAGAGAGACCCCAGGGGTCAGATGGGCCCCTGGCGAATGGTCCCTCCCGGAAGATGGGGTCCGTAGTGAGCTGGATGGCCTAGCCTGAGTTGTTGGTCCCATTCCCCCAACCCCCATCCCCATCCTTGCCCCTCTTCGGGCTTTGGTCTCTTCTAGCTGGTGCTTCCGGTAGGTAGGTCCTGCTCAGATGGCTCCAAAGTCAGAGTCCTGTTGTCCTGCCCCCACCATCCCCCAGGTCGAGCTCTCCCCAGAGTAGGGCCATGCTCGAGCACAGTGGGAATGACCTCACATTCCACTTGACTGTTCCCCCAGCACCTGAGACACAGACTCCACACGATGCCGTGTGGGAGGGCACAGCCAGGTGCTCTGCTGAACTTGCAGCCTCCTGAGTTCTGCCCATGCCCGGACATCATCCCACTGGACATTACAGGTAGTTGTCTTCAGTTTCCATTTTTTCCTATAAAGACTGCTCACCTGGCCCTAGAGTGCTCACCTTGGGAACACCAAGGTGTTTGCTTTTCCCACCCCCTTCCCAGAGTCTCGGACTTGAATTCAGACTCCCTGGAGGCTGCCTTGGAATCTGTTTCCTTTCATAAGTGGGGTGGTTTGGCTTCTGCTATCCCCGGCCCTGGCCTCCCATGGCCAACTTGGGTGTCATGTGGGTACATGCCCTTTGAAGGACTTGATTGGGGGCTCAAGGTACAGCCTGTTCTGTTGAAAACAAGCACTTCACTGGTCCTCTCCAAGGCCAGCTCTGATCTTCTGTGCCCCTGCCGCTGCCCCTGTCCCCACCACCACTGTGGACCTCTTCTGCCTTACCCAGATGGCTGGTACATTGAATGATTTTGTTGCCTCACAGGTTAGGTGCTTTTCAAGGGGCCTCCTTTACACACACTCACTCCCAGGGGTCAGTTCTGAGTTGTTGAGCTAGATGTGACCAAAGGAAGCCCCTGTCTACCTGTATTTGAAAATGGATGAGAGTCTGGGTGTGGGACTGGTGAAACCCAAGTGAGAGTCGCCTGTCTTCACTACACATGAACGACAGTGCAGTGGGTTTGGAGATGCATGTTCTCAAACCTTTGTGGGCCACTTTTCTTCAAAATCACCATGTAGGGGACAGAACAGCACCTTGGAAAGGCCCACGTGTGAGGACTCTAGGGCACTGTGCCCCTAGAGATAGTTTCCCATTAGTTCTGCCCTGCAGCAGGGTCATTTGCCCTGTGTGAGGGCCACAGCCTGGTGTCTGAAAGGGGAGAGCTAAGAGGGTATGGAAGAGGCTCTCCCAGGGCATTTCAGCCTGAGGACTGGTGGCCAGAATGGAGCTTGCAGCCTCGACTTGGGCTTGCTCCGTTGCCTTTGCCCTCCTAAACAGGTTGACAAAGCATTTCTTCAGGTTGGTTCATCTGACTGGAACATGACCCTGGAGGCTGTGATTATCCGTGGAGGCTCCTGGCGGCTCCTCCGAAGGGGGCCGAAGACTGGTATCTGTGGGCAGCCTGCCTCGGTCATTCCTCGCATGGAGCCTGTACTCCAGGCAAGACCTGCAATGTCCTGTCTGCAATTTGGAGGCTCGGCTGTTTTCACCTGTCTGTCAGGCAATGCAGCACGAGGTCTTCCTGCCTGGGGACTATCAGGGTTCGCTCTGGTCTCAGATCTAGCTACCCTCAGTCCTCCCTCAGGGTGTTCACCTTGACTTCTGGTAGGACCTAGGCTCTGTCCTCTCCCCATCATAGTCCCTGCTCCTCACACCATGTCCCCAGTCTCACAGACCCCGATGTCCGGAAGTCAGGACATATTTAGTATGCTCTTCTCACCCAAAGGGCTCCCAGGGCTGATAACAGGGCCTGGGACCTGTAGGGTTCCATCAGTCTGGTAAGACTTGGGGTCCCTAGAAACTTCACTCAGGGGTCCTTTCAATCTTCCCTCAGGGACCTCAACTTGTCTCTGTGTAGGACTTCGGATTCACTCCTCTCCCCTACTAATGCCCCATCCCTTATATCGGGACTCCAGTCTCTCTGAGACATGGATGTCAGGAAGTCCACTCCCTATACTAGGACACCAGTCTGAAATCCAGTTATTAGGAAGTCAGACCCCTGTACCAGGTCCCCATTTTGAGGCCTGTATGTCAGGAAATCAGCCACCTATACCAGGTTCCCCAGTCTCTCTGAGACCCAGATGTCAGGAAATGCAGCATGTGTTCCTTCCACCCTATGTCCTCCCAGAGCCCACTCTGCTCTGGGGTCCAGGGTCCCCTCAGTCCTCCCTCAGCGTCCTCAACTTGACCCTCCAAAGAACTAAGATCTTCCCCTCTGCCCATCTGAGGCACTACTTCTTCTAACAGTTGCCTCATGTCTCTGAGGTGCAGAGGCAGAAGTCAGAACAGGCTGCCAAGTGCTCATCCCACCACCAGGATCGTCCAGGCCTAACAGCAGGGTTAGGCATCTGTGAGGTTCCTTATATTCCCCCCTACAGGACCTCATCTAGAGCCCAGGCAGATCCGGGGATGCCCCTTGTGTTGACCCGAGGTGGGACCCTCACATCAAGGCTCAGGGAGCACAGAAGGTGGATGAGCTCATGCTGCATTTCCTGACATCCAAGTCTCAGAGAAACTGGGGATCTGGGAAAGGGGACGCGTCCTCAGGTGAGCAGAGGGAAGAAGCCCAGCTCCTCCAGAGTTTCAAGATGAGGACCCTGAGGGAGGACTAAGGGGACCCTGGAACCCAATCAGAGGAGAACTCAGAGAAGGCTGTAGCTGCAGTTGGTCCTTGGCGGCCCTGGGATAGGATGAGCCAAACGTGCATGGTCTGACTTCCTGACATCCAGGTCTTGGAGAGGCTGTGTCCCAGGTATAAGGGGCAGGGCTTCAGTTGCAGAGAGGCGAGAATCCCAGGTCCTGCCTGGAGGCAAGGTGAGGTGCCTGAAGGAGGACTGAGGGGACCCTGAGTGAGGACTGAGGAGACCCTGAGTGAGGACCAATGGAACCCCACAGATCCCCACCCCTGTAGTCGGCCCTGGGAGCCCTTGGGGTGAGAAGAGCACACTAGGCCTGTCTGTCTTCCTCACGTGACGGTCTCAGAGAGACTGGGGATCTCATGAAAACGGCAGGGTCTCAAAATGGTGGACAGGACAATCCCCGGTGCTGCCTGGGGTCCAGTCTCCATGCCGGGAAGTACTGAGGAGGTTAGACCCCAACAGGAAGGGATCTTGGCCCTCTCAGGAAGGTCTTGGAGGGCCCAGAGTGGGGTGCACAGGGTGACCAGTTTCTTGACCTCTGGCATAGAGACCTCGGGAGGTAAGGTTTCTCGGGTAGAGGCCAGAGGCTTCAGGTCGGCAGAGGCTGGACTCCCCGACCCAGGTGGAGGACTGAGCAGACCCACGCCCCTGTGGTCAGTGCTGGGAGGCCAGGCAGGGTGTGAGGAGGAGCTGAGGACAGAGCATGTCCCCAGCCGAGGACCCGCGGGAGGCCCTGGGCAGGTGTGGCTACATGTGGGGCCCCTCAGTGCTTTCTATTCAGTCTCGGGTCTTGTTCTGAGTTTCCCTGTATGCTTCCAAAGGGGAGGGTCCAAGCCGTGCCAGGGGGGAAAGGTGAGCACTACAAGGGCACCCCGAGGGGACCTCCCACCACACAACTGGATGTGCTCACTGAGCCCACCCCTCTTACCATCACAGAAGGCCCAGGGCTGTGCCACAGTATAGCCCCTAGATGTTCCCTCCATTTCTCACACAGGAGCTTCAGGAAGCAGGAAGTGAAGACAGAGGTCTAAAGCCTGTGTCCTGGAGATGAGAGAGCAGAGGAGGCCCAGGCAGTATCTGGAGTCAAGGTGAGAGGGTGCCCTGAGTGTGTACTAGAGGCTCCCCATTCCAGAACAGACGGGGGGCACACGAAGGCCCTAATCCTCCCCCCCCCCACATTGTGGGCCCCGGAAATCTCAGGCTGTGCTGACCACACCCTGGGGAGCCATCACACTTCCTCCTTCAGGTAGCCAGGGGACTGTCTTCCTAGGAGGAGCACCCCTGTGAGGTCTGAGAGCACCCCTCAAGAGGAGACCTATAAGTGGCCTGTGTCAGACCACCTGGGATGCATTTCTCATCCGAGCCTGCTCACATGCCCTCTGCCCCAAGGCCTGTGGTCCCCATCTGTACCTCTTCCTCACTTCCGTGTCTTGTTTGATCCCAGGCATCATGCTTGTGGTCGAGATGAGTGAGTTGAGTAAGCCCAAAGAAGACCTTCAGGACCCAGTTGAGGCCCAGGGCCCAATGGACGCACAGCTCTTGGAGGCTGAGGAGGACGAGGCCACATCCCACTTGGCCTCCTACCTCCCAGCATCCTCCTCTGCTCCTTTGGAGGCCTTGCCCCAAGAAATTCTGAATGAGATGATGGCTAACCTGATGAAGTTCCTGCTCCTCAGTTATCGAGCCAAGGAGCTGACCTCCCAGGCAGAAATGCTGAAGGTCTTCAGGGATAACCAGGAGCACTTCCCAGTGGTCTTCAGGCAAACCTTGCAGTGAATGCAGCTGGACTTTGGCATGGAGGTGAAGGAGGTAGATGCCAGGCAGCACATCAGCATCCTGGTCACCACCCTGGGCCTCACCTGCAATACGATGCATAGCGGTAGGCAGGGTCTGCCCAAAGCCAGCTTCCTGGTGCTGGTCCTCAGCCTCACCATATGGAATAGAGACCATGCCCCTGAGGAGGAGGTCTGGGGAACACTCAGCAGGATGTGGTTGTGTGCTGAGGGTGAGCACTGCGTCTTTGGGGAGTCCAGGGAGCTGCTGCCCCACATGTGGCTGCGGGAGGGGAACCTGGAGTACCAGCAGTTGCCTGACAGCCACCTTGCATGCTATGAGATCCTGTGGGGTCCCCAGGCATATGCAGAGACCAGCAAGTGGCAATTTATGGCATTTCTGCTCAGGGTGAAACAAAGGGCTTTTAGGGCCTTCCCACCCCTTTCTGCAGAGGCTGCCAGGGAGGAGGATGAGGCAGCCTGAGCCATAGCAACAGCCAGGCTGGTCCTTCCTTCTGTGATTGAACAGGGAGCGGTTAGCCATCTCAGAAGTGAGGGCCAAGGCCAGTTGGGGGAACCAGTGTGTAGCATCTTTGGGTTCCTGTTCTTTACCATGGTATGGAGATTCATCTCTGATTTCTTTAGAAAATTTTCAAACTTTGTTTTCATAGAAGGCTACATTAACTTCAGTGTCTTATCTTTGTGAATGATGTTAATCCCTGTATGTTTATGGTTACCCAGTTCACAAACAAGAGTTTTACTCTTTTGTAAAATTGCTTGAAGCATGCCAGCTGTGATGGACCTCGCATAAGCATGGCCTTGAGGAGCTACCCCTAGCCCAAGGTCAGGGGCAGCGACCGAGAGGGCCAGGCTGTGACGGCACAGGTGCGGCCGAGAGGAGCTACCCCACATCCGAGGTCAGGGGTGGTGACCAGGAGGAGCTACCACACGCCCCAGGGCAGGGGCAGGGGCTGAGAGGAGCAATCCCACGGCTGAAGTCAGGGGCGTCAGCCGAGAGGAGCAACCCCACGTCCAAGGAGCGACGGCTGTGCTGGCGCAGCAGGGCCGAGAGGAGCTATTCTTTGTTCAAGGTCAGGAGGGGCGGCCGTGAGGAGATACCCCTCATCCAAGGTAAGGAGCAGCGGCTGCGCTTTCCTGGAGCAGCCATGAAGAGATACCCCACGTCCAAGGTAAGAGAAACCCAAGTAAGACAGTGGGTGTTGGGACAGGGAATCTCTTTGCAGTGACAGTTTCTCAGACCTTCGTGGTATATATATATATATATATATATATATATATATATATATATATTTTTTTTTTTCGATGACACTGACAATTTTGAGGCGTCCTGGTTAAGAATATTGTAGGGACTTCCCTCATTGTCCAGTAGTTGGGACTCTATGCTTCCACCGCACGGGGTGTGGGTTTGATCCTTCGTTAGGGTACTAATATCCTGCATGCTGAGTGGCCAAAATGATTTAAAACATCCAACTAGGTTGTGGCAGCCACGAGTCCCTCTTTATCCCTCACCACTTTACTCTTGAGCTCCACACAGTGCAGGACACTCTGACTGTCCACTGAGTTAAGGGTGGGGTGCACAGCTATTTGAATATCATGGTCCTTTTCTCAAATAAAAGGACAATTCCATGGACTCCTACAAGAAAGCGATGGAGTTCTAGGAAATCAATCACAGCCACTCTCAGTTCAGCACAGCTTCTGCAGACATTGGTGCTTACTCATCACAGGAGCAACTGCTAACACTCGGTGGGAGACATGGAGTTACCATGATAGAGAACATTTCTCCAGTTCCCAGAGGGGGAAATGGGCGTCCTCAAGATCTCACCCTGGGGAGCCAGCTCTCTGTGCAGCCTTTCCCAGCTGGCTGGGTTTGGCAAAAAGGGTTTTGTGGAGGGAGAGTGGGAAAGACTCAGATAAGCTGAAGCAGGGGTAGAGTGGCCATTGCCCTGGCCTCTGTAAACCTGGACATTGGGTTCAAACCGAGAGTGGGGGAAATAGCCTGGGAAGCCCACAGTCAGGGCAATGTGACCTAGAACAAAGGTTTCTCTACATCAAGAAGGAAAGTCTCTGTTTATTATCTCTACAGATATTGCAACATAGATGCTCATCTCTTTGGGAGTGATTCTGGCTCCTGACTCCTGGGTGGGGAGGCCTTGGCTCTAATCCAAGGCAGGTGGGTCTCTCTTTGTATCGCTTCATTCAGATAACTGGAACCAAGAGTAATTCATCACTTTGTGAAGGATTAATCAAGTGTGTTTCAAGTTCACTTCAAAGACAGTTCAACTGATGAAAATATACAAGACCCGTTACACATGAGGGCCATAAGCAGGTGCAAAATTCAGAACCGGACTTTAGGAGAGCAGAGCTCTATGGAGATACTGTTAGACAGTCTTCACCCATGTCTGCTGGTCTGTTGCATCTTGCTCTGTCATGTGGTGATTACTAAACTTGACTGTGTGGTGGTAATCGTCAAAGCTGGGGAATGGACTCACATTGTTCTCTATTTGCATGTGGGGGGAGAGGTGACGCTTTCTGAGTAATAAATCTTTGAACCAGGAAAGTGATCCTTAACCTGCATGGGTCCTCTAGTCCCATTAGGTATTCCTGCTGTTCAGTCAGGGAAGGTAAGGGAATTTGAAATTTAAAAAGTCTGACAGTGTACAGATGCCAACTTTAAGAAATTAGAACAAGCAGAAACGGATTCTGATCTGAAGAATCCTTGTGGGATGTGGGAGTGTCATGTGGGATGCTGTACTGGAGCCAGAAGCGACAGTAGCTCCTAAGGGACGTTTAAAATTTCCCTCACACTGGTTCTTGCTCCAACCTGGAAGTATCACACGGCTGAATGACACCACCATTGCAGTTAGGTTTACTCCACTAGAAGAGAAGCCTTGCTAGCAAGGAGGGATGGAGTTCAAGCAAAAATCTTGCCATGTTGATATGATACATTTATAAATGGTGACGTCGTATTAGCTACCACCTCCATTCTATCACATTTGTGTGTGTGTGTGTGTGTGTGTGTGTGTGTGTGTGTGTGTGTGTGTGTGTTCAGAATGTAGAAGTTCTACCCTCTTAGCAACAGTCAAGTATTTAATGCAGAATAGAGCTATAAGCATCCTGCTGTACACTGGATTCCACAACTTGTTAGTATTATAAGTGGGGGCTGGTACCCTGTGAACAGTCTCTCCCTATTTCCCCATCCCCTAATTCTTTGTAAACGCCACTCTCGTCCCCATTTCTCTGTCTGTCCTTCGTACTTTTTAAATTTATTTTTATTTTTATTTTATTTTTGTTCTTGTTGCTCAGCATGTGGGTTTTTAGTTCTCCAACCAGGGATCAAATTCATGTTCCCGGGATTGGAAGTGCAGAGTCTTAGCCACTGGACTACTGGGGTAGTCCCAGTTTGTCCTTTTTAGATTCCACATGTAAGTGATAACAAACCGTATTTATCTTTCTCAGTGTCACTTATTCTACTTAGCATAATGCCCTCAAGCTCCTTTCAAGTTGTTGCAAATGGCAGAATATGTTGAATATGTCACATCCTCTTTATCCGTTCATCCACTGACGGACACTTAGATTGTAACCATATTTTGGATACTGTGAACAATGCTGTAATAAATGTAGGAGTGAAAATATCTTTTCAATATCTTATTTTCATTTCCTTTTGAATATACACTCAGATGTGGAATTGCTGTATCGTATGGTAGCTTCCTTGATAGTGTTCTTTGATTCACAGACTTTATTTATTTGACCAGGTCCAATTTATATATGTCTTTCTCTTTTTTTGCCTCTGTTTTTGGTGTCATATCCACAAACTCTTTACCACCTAAAATATTTCTAGATATATACATAAACACATTATAGGATGTACGTCTATACATCTTTGCTCTCTCAACCAAGAGGTCCCCAGACCAATGACCCTTCAGTACCAATGAGCACAATGAGTGTACAGATCTAGATTTGCCAATACCTTTTGACAATAAAAGGAACAAGGGTTCCATGAAAAATTGATGATTCTAGACTTGGGTCAGGAAATATGGGAAATGAGCCTGGAACATCTTTGTAGCATGTGAAAAAAAGTACTCAGAAATTTTTCAAAAAAGGAAGCAAAATGTCCAGGGATATGACAAAGTTATTTACAAAGGGAGCTGACAGGAAGAACTCCCAATAGCCAATCTGAGAACAATTTGAAAATAAAAGTATATAAAGTTGTATTGGATTTTAACCCAAAGTGCAGTATAAATACCATGAGTCCATACTGAGAAAAATTAATGATTTCTTAATTCCACAAACAAGGATAGACAACTCTCCCACAGATAAAAATTCCAGTTTATGCAGACACTCCCACTTCTAGAAAGTGGAGTCTAACTCCCTACCCCTGAAGCCATGGACCATACATCGTGACTTTCTTCCAAAGAGGACAGATGGAAAGGGGACATAAAACAATCACTTTATCACATAGACACCTGACAAGCACTACCTCAGCCACATGATCAATGAGAGCATCACCAATGATGAATTGTACTAATAGAATACACACTTGCTATGCTGTGATGAGAATGGGATTTTACATCTGTAATATTCCTCCCCCAAACTCGTAATCCCAGACTAGTCATGAGTAAAATATCAGACAAATCTCCCAATCAAGGGACATTGTTCAAAACATCTACTGAGTACTCCTCAAAACTGTCAAGATCATCCAAAACAAAGAACTGTGAAAGCAAGCTAAGAGGAACCCAACGAGACATTACAACTAAATGTTAGGGTGATTTCCTGGCCAGGATCCTGGAGCGGGTAAAACCTATAGAAATCTGAGTAAAGTGTGGGCTTCAGTTGACAATAAATAATGCATCAATACTTCCTCATTAATTGTAATAAATGTATCATATTAATGTAAGATATTAGGAATAGGGGAAGCTGGGAGAGGGCATATGAGAATTCCACTATTTTCACAAATATTATTCAAATCTTAAAGGATTACAAAGGAAAAGGTCAAAATAAAATCTATTGACAGTTTCAAAATAAAAGACACAAGGAAACTTACGGCAAAACATGCTGAGTATGTTAAAAAAGGAAATAGAAAGGAAACCAAGCACAAGCACACGGAACTTGTAGGTGTGAAACAACCCTTCCTAAATTATCTTCAGCTTTTCCTCTCCCTTAACCTTCAGTCTCATATAATAAACTAACCAGGCCTCTTCCACCACAGAAACATCTCTGGATCCAATTTTTCTCAAGCCCCACAAACACTGCCCTTATCCAAACTCATAGATGTTTTCCCTGGATATGACAAGAGCCACCGATCGAGGCCAGGTGTAGACCTAGAACCCTGTATTGCTCAAAAACCACTTTAAGACGTCTGCCAGTGTTATTTGCCACAGATGTCTGACAAGTGCCAGGCAGGGGTCAGTGTCTTGACAAAGAAACAAGGGTCCAGAGCAAAACTTAAGCTGTGCATATGTGTGTACGTGCTTAGTCGCTCAGTATGTTCGACTCTTTGTGACCCCACAGACTGTAGCCCACCCACGCCCTTGGGCTCCGGTCCATGGGATTTCCCAGGCAAGAATACCGGAGTGGGATGCCATTTCCTCCTCCAGAGTATCTTCTCACCCAGGGATCGAACCTGTGTCTCCCACATTGCAGTTGACTATTTAACACTGAGCCTCCAGGGAAGCCATGAGGAAACACAGGGACTTCTCAGAGGAGCAGAACATTCACTGAGAATCCTTAAGCCAGGGGAGTTGCCTGTCCCATCGGTGATGCCCTAGGCAAGATCAGCTTGGGAACAGTGTGGTGTGTTTTCACAGAGAGGCGGCTGCTGAAGATGCTGGATCCTGAAAATGACCTCCAGATAAGTCGGTGGGGGCAGGGGGCAGTTTGGGCCTCCTAGCAGCCAAAGGCCTGAGGTTCTTAGGTACCCAGAGCAAGATCCCACCCACACCTAACAGTCATATCCAATAAGGGGCATGAGGAGTACCTGTTATGATGGCTGTCACATGTCCATCCTGGAGTGCCCCCCCCCCCCCCGAGGCTGTGGTCCCGGCCTTGGCCTCAGAGCACAGATGATCTCATGGAGGCCAGGGCGGCAGCTCACCTGCAGCAGCATCTCCTCCCCACTCCCTCTCCTGACCAGCCCTGGGCAGGTCAGATGGGATCTCCAGGGGCTTGCTGCTTCCACCTCTCTGGGGCAGCCGACTCTCTTTGCAGCCTGCACTCCTGGGACCACAGTGTCCTCTCCTGCCTGGTTCCTTTCCAAATCCTTGTTTGAGTCTGGAGCCTCTGGCACCTAGGAGGGCATCCTGGGTACCACCCCTGCCATCTGCTAGAGCCTGTCCTCTGTTCAAACAGTCCGACTGGCTCCTAGTTGGCTCTGCAGGTGGCTGACCAGACACCCCTCTGCCTCTCATACTCAACCTCGAAAGCCATGACCTTACAGTCACATTTAGAAGACCCTGAGGTTTCTCCAGCACGTGGGATTCCACAGGGAATGGTCTGATACACCTCAGGATCATAGAGATGTGCCCCATGCATCCGTGGCAATGATTACTACTGAGCGTCCACAAGGAGAGTCAAGTCCTGTCAGCTCCACCTTTAGCACCGTGGAAGGGGACACTGCTCTGGGACTTCCAGATAAAGATACACACATGAGGTCATCAGGATCAGGGCCTAAGCCACTCTCAGTGGGGGGGCAGGTAGGACAAAACCCAAGGCCAGGTTCTGAGGGAGTGGGGGCACTGTGGGCAGCAGGGGTGTGTCGGGGGAGGGGTGTGGCTTGTGGCTGGGGCCCATGAGAAGGATGTGAAGGATGCTCCCAACTCCAACAGGGACCTTTGCCAGCTGGTTGCTGTCTTTCTGATGGAGACCGAGCAGAACCCCGAGGGGACTCACAGTGCAGCTCAGCGGGGGTGGGGGCACGCTGTGGGTTGGGGGTGCGTGGAATTCCTGTAGCCAGCTCCCTGTGGGCAGCCTCTCTCAAGGGTCAGAGGACTTCAGTCTCTGGAAGAAAAACCTCACTCGGAGTGGTCTGTGTCTTAGTGTGTCCTGATTTGAGGATTAACTCCCAGGTGCCTGTGTCCCTTCAAAACAAATGGTCCTGACAAAAATGCTTCTTCTCAAAGTTCACTGATCACGGGTCATCACATCACCCTTCCTAAGTGAAGAGGCCTGGCAGGCTCATGTCCCCATGTGTGCAGGGAGAGAGGAAGACAAGAGGTGGTGGAGCACCTAACATCTCTCCAAATCCACACTGCCTAACAGATGCTCAACAAAGAGCAGCAGTCAGAATTTATAATGACAAAATCTCAAAAAAAAAAAAAAAAAAAAGACAAAATCTACTATGTTTGGGGAAGAGAGTCTGAGCAGGTCACATGGGTCTTGAAATTCTCCACCTTTTCCAAGTGTCCATTGACTATGTGGCAGTGACCACATGTGTGGCCAGAATCACATCTCCTGTTCCCATTGTTCTCTGGCACTCAGCATGGAGAGCTGCCCCTTCAGCCCCTTGCACCCACACGCACACCCCACTGCAGTGACCTCACCACCTCCTTAGGCCCAGAACTCACTCCTGTCATTTGATGCCAGGCACAGCCTTAGCCTGTGAGTCTCTGCTGTCTCCACACTTCTGAACTTGCATGAACCCGTGGACGCTGGTGGATGTTGCATCTTTCCTGGCTAGCACTTATTTCTTGTGTTATTCGGATCTCAGACTCTGTCCCTCTCTCCTCTGGAAATAGCTTTGTTTTCAAGACACCTCATAGGATTGCCAGCTCAATAGGAAACGGAATAGAAAACCAGTCAAATTTGCGGCTCTGTGTGTTTTCCTCCTAGAGGTTATATTATTCAGTTTGGCTGTTAGTGTGTGTTTGAGGGGGTGGGAAACAGTGTCTTTCCTGGCTGGGAATCAAAGTTCCCAGGATCCAGTCACCCAGCAGGATTTCCCCACATTCACTCATTTCATCCCTCTGAAATCTAGACCATGCTCACAAATGGCCAAAATAAAGTCCAGATGACCAAGTCAGTGCTAATTTCAATATATTGGTAATCAGCTTTCCCAGGACAGAGAGAAGAGGGCCAACCCAGGGAATACTTGGCCATACTTCAAAGCAACATTCACCTTTCTCCAGGATTCTGAGCAGATGGTGGGGCAGTGGTAGAAAACACCTCCTTTGCCCCTGTGGTCAACAGCAATGCAACAACTGTCAGGACCCCTTCCTTTCCACCCCAGCAAGAGATCTCTCTGTGTTTTATCCAAGATGCAAAAGGACACCTCACACCAATGATTCATTTCAGACTTTCCTGTCACCCCCAAGATACACTGTCGGCAGGTCTGAGGGATGCCATCATGCAGCCTCATCACGATGACCTCCCACAGAAGGAACCCAGCTTCCCAAAGCCCCAGAACACTCTGGCTCAGACACTGACATTCCAGGGCTCCTCCTGGAGCCTCACCGCCCTGGCCCATGCTGCCTTGTTTAGTGTGACTAGGGGACTTCTCTCCACCTTCTTTGTGTGACTAGGGCTACTAGAGCATCGCTCTAGGTGCAGGGGTGTCCTGCTTCTCCTAGTGTCCCCACTACAAACCCAGCCTTTCACAGAGCAGAGGCTCCGTAAAGGTCTTTGGAATACACGAGCCAGTGAGCAGGGGGCTCAATTAATTATCTGCTACTTCCTTAAATAACCCAGGCAAATCCAAATGCACAAGAGATAATTTAGTTTTTGAAAATGACACACAAGAAGGGCAGAAGCATGAATTCTCTACAATTGTTTTTATCATCTAGTTCATCCCCCATCAATGTTACTGCTAAGTAAGCTCACTTTTCCAAAACAGTTCTAATTCCAATTCCATTGCATTCTGTTCAGGACCACAAAACACAATGGAAGAGTTTCCAATATCTTGTACAAAACAGCAAAACTCTTGTTCATGAATTGGATAAGCACAAACGCACTGTGATCAGCATCATTCGTGAAGCTAAGACACTGAAGTTTATTTAGTCTTCTATGAAAACAAGCAAAGTTTGAATTTTTTTCTAAGGAAAACAGGTGAATCTCCAAGTCATTATAGAGAACAGGAACCCAAAGATGCTATACACTGGTTCCCCAAAGTGCCCCAGGGCCTCACTTCTGAGAAGGCTGACTGCTCCGTCTTCAACCACAGAGGGAAGGATCACCTGGATCCTGCTCTGGCTCAGGCAGCCTCATCCTCCTCCCTTGCAGCCTCTGCAGACAGGGGTGGGAAGGCCCTTGAAGCCCTTTCTTTGATCCTGAGCAGAAATGCCATGACTTCCTGCTTGCTGGTCTCCGCATAGGCCCGGGGACCCCACAGGAACTCATAGCGAGCAGGGTAGCTGTAAGGCACCTGCCGGTACTCCAGGTACCCCTCCTGCACCCACACGTGTGTCAGAAGTGTCCTGGGCTCCCCAAAGACACAGTGCACACTCCCGACACACACACCCAATCTGCTGAGTGCTCCCCAGACCTTCTCCTCAGGGGCGCGGTCTCCATTCTGCATGATCAGGCTGAGGATCAGCACCAGGAGGCCGGCCTTGGGCATGCTCTGCCCACTGCTCAGCATCACATCACAGGTGAGGCCCAGGTTGGGGACCATGATGTAGATGTGCTCCCTGGGGTCCACCTCCTTCACCTCCACACCACAGACCAGCTCCAGGCAATGCGAGGCTTGGCTGAAGACCACCGGGAAGTGCTCCTGGTTATCCCTGAGGACCTTCTTCAGTATTTCCGCCTGGGAGGTCAGCTCCTTAGCTAGATACTTGAAGAGCAGGAACTTTATCAGGTTAGCTTTCATCTCCTTCAGAGCCTCTGGGGGCAAGAACTCCCCAGTGGCTACGGAGGACACTGTGAGGGAGGAGGCTGAGGCGGATGCAGCCACCTCTGCCTCAGCCCCCAAGAGCTGCACAATTCACTGGGCACTGGGCCTCGCCAGGGTCCTGAAAGTCTTCCTCGGGCTTGCTCAGCTCACTCATCTCGACCACGAGCACGATGCCTGGGATCAAACCACAGACAGGAGTGAGGCAGGAGAATAGATGGGGATCACGGGCCAGGCTAGGGGAGAGAGGGGCTCTGACTGGCCTCAGCTGAGAACCACACCCTGGGCGGTCTCACACAGGCCACTTACAGGTCTCCTTTTGAGGGGTGCTCTCAGACCTCACAGGGGCAAGCCTCCAGGGCAGCCAGTCCACTGGCTACCTGAAGGAGGAAGTGAGGTGTCTCCCCATGGTGCAGTCAGCACAGTCTGACATTTCCAGGGATGACAAGGTGGGGGATTAGGCCCTTGTGGGGTCCCCTCTGCTCTGGGATGGGGAGCTCCTGGTGCACACTCAGGGCACCCTCCTCACCTTGACTCCTGGGACTGCCTGGACCACCTCTGCCCTCTGACCTCAGGACTGGAGCCTCAGTCCTCTGCCTTCCTCTCCTGGTTCCTGGAGTCCTGTGAGAGAAAGGGAGGGGGCAGCTCTGCGGTATCCTGTGGCACAGCCCTGAGCCTTCCATGACAGTATGAGGGGTAGACTCTGCGAGGTCCCCCAAGTTGTGTGGTAGGAGGTCCCCTCACGGCTCCCTTGTAGTGCTCACCTTTCCCCTGGCACGGCCTGGTCCCTCCCCTATGGGGACCTGCATGGAAATTCTGAACAAGGTCCGAGCCTGAACAGAAAGCGCTAAGGGGCTCCACATGCAGCAGCCGCACCTACCTAGGGTTTCCTGTGGGTCCTAGGCTGGGGAGATGCTCAGTCCTCTACTCCTCCTCACGTCCTGCCTTGTCCTCCCAACACTGACCACAGGGGCGGGGGTCTCCTCAGTCGCCCCTCGGGTTTGGGGAGTCCAGCCTCTGCCGACCTGAAGTCTCCACCGTCCGGCGGAAAAACCTCACCTCCCAAGGTCCCTAAGCCAGAGGCCAAGAATCTGCTCGCCCCGCTCTAGGGCCCCCAAGAGTCCACACAAGGGCCAGGATCCCTGTCTCCCTGTTGGGGTCTTTCTGCCTCTTTCCATCCTCAAATGCAGCCTGGACTCCAGGCAGGACCGCGGACTGTCCTGGACTGTTCCGTCCGCCATTTTGAGACCGTGCCGCTTTCACGAGATCCCCGGTCTCTCTGAGACCAGCATGTGAGGAAGGCAGACAGGCAGTGTGCTCTTCTTACCCCAAGCTCTCCCAGGATCGACTACAGGGGCGGGGGTCTGTGGGGTTCCGTCGGTCCTCACGCAGGGTCCCCTCAGCCCTCCTTCAGGCACCTCGCCTTGCCTCTGAGCAGGACCCGGGATTCTCGGCTCTCCCCAACTGAAGCCCCGCCCCTTATACCAGGGCCCGGTCTCTCCAAGACCCGGATGTCAGGAAGTCAGACCGTGCCTGCTGCGCTCATTCTACCCCCACGGTTGCCCTGGACTGACAACAGAAACGAGCTTCTCTGACGTGTCCTGTGATTGCAGTCCAAGGTCCTCTAGTTCTCCTCCTCAGGGTCCTCAACCTGACACCCCGCCAGACCTGGGAATTGGACCACCTGAGGCCCTACCCCATATCCAAGGTACCCAGTCTGAGACCCGGATGTCAGAGAGTGAGACCACGCACCTTGGGCTCATCCTACCCCACGACCACCAAGGACCAACAGCAGCTACAGGCTTCTCTGAGGTCTCTTTTGATTGGGGTCAGGGTCCCCTCAGTCCTCCCTCAGAGTCCCCAAATTGAAACTCCGCAGGAGCTGGGCTTCTTCCCTCTGCTCACTTGAGGACACGCCCCCTTCTCCCAGGTCCCCAGTTTCTCTGAGACCTGGATGCCAGGTAATGTAGCATGTGCTCATCCACCCTCTGTGCTCCCTGAGCCTTGATGTGAGGGTCCCACCTCTGGTCAACATAGGGGGCCTCCCCGGATCTGCCAGGGCTCAAGATGAGGTCCCTGAGGGAGATTATAAGGAACCCCACAGATGCCTACCCCTGCTGTCAGCCCTGAGCCACCCTGCTGGTGGGATGAGCACTTGGCAGCCTGTTCTGACTTCCGCATCTGTGTCTCAGATACATTAGGCAACTGTCCGAAGGGGCAGGGCCTCAACTGGGCAGAGGGGAAGATCTTAGTTCTTTGGAGGGTCAAGGTGAGGATGCTGAGGGAGGACTGAGGGGACCCTGAACCCCAGAGCAGAGTGGGCTCTGGGAGGACATAGGGTGGATGAACATATGCTGCATTTCCTGACATCCAGGTCTCAGAGAGACTAGGGACCTGGTATAGGGGGCTGACTTCCTGACATCCAATCTCAAACTGGGGACCTGGTGTAGGCAGCTGACTTCCTAACATACGGGGTTCAGACTGGGGTCCTGATATAGGGAGCAGACTTCCTGACATCTGGTTCTCAGGGCGACTGGAGTCCTGGTTTAAGGGCTGGGGGCTTAGTAGGGGAGAGGAGAGAATCCGAAGACCTACCCAGAGACAAGATGAGGTCCTTGAGCAGGAATGAAGAGACCCCACAGATTCCCGCCTCTGTCGTCAGCCCTGGGAGCCCCTGGGGTGAGAAGAACACACTAGACCTGTCCTGACTTCCTGACACCCTGGTCTCTGAGAGACTGGGGACCTGGTGTGAGGAGCAGGGACTCAGGGGCGGAGAGGACAGAGCCCAAGCGAGTCGGTTTTTCCCATCAGGTGACCAGCTTTAGCATCAGTCCTTCCAATGCATATTCACAGTTGATTTCCTTTAGGATGGGCTGGCTTGACCTCCTTGCTGTCCGGGGTACTTTCAAGAGTCTTCCCCAGCACCACAGTAGTACCATTTTATACATAGTCTTGTGTATCTGTTAATCTCAAACTCCTAATTTATCCCTTCCCCTGCTTTTCCTCTTTGGTAACCATAAATTTGTTCTCTGAGTCTGTTTCTGCTTTGTAAATAATTTCTTTTGTAGCATCTTTTTAGATTCCACATATAAGTGATACCATACAATATTTGTCTTTCTCTTTCTGCCTGACTTCTCTTAATATGATAATCTCTAGGTCCATTTATGTTGCTACCGATGGCATCACTTCATTATTTTCCATGGCTGAGAAGGATTCCTGTGTGTGTGTGTGTGTGTGTGTGCACAAACCACATCTTCTTTCTTCTTTATCTAATCATCCACTGATGGACATTTGGGTTCCTCCATATCTTGTCTGCTGTAAATAGTGTTGCAATGAACATTGGGGTGCATGTATATTTTCATATTAGAGTTTCTGTCTTTTCCAGGTATATATTTAGGAGTGGGATTGTTGGATCATCTGGTAGTTCTGTTTGTAGTTGTTTAAGGATCCTCCATGCGGTTCTCCCTATTGACTGTACCAATTTACACTGTTCACCAACAGTGTACAAAGGTTCCCTTTTCTCTGCACCCTCTCCAGCATTTATTCTTCATAGGTTTTTATGATGATGGCCATTCTGATCAGTGTAAGGTGATATTTCATTGGAGTGCTGATTTGTATTTGAATATTAATTAGGAGTGTTGAGCTTCTTTTCATGTGCCTGTTGGCCATCTGTGTCGTCTTTGAAGAAAGGGTCTTCTTTGGAGAAAGGGTTTTGTGTCAGGGTCACACAGGCTCAAACTACGAACCGTGTTGGTTCAGGAGGCCAGCAACTGAGGTCAAGGTGTTGACTGATGCTGGTTCTCATGATGGAGGTGGAGGGTCTGTCCCATTTCTCCCCCCTCACTTCGGGGGTTTTGCTGGCCATGGTGGCCGTGTCTGGGCTTGGAGAGCTCCACCTTCCTCTTCACCTGGAGTTCCCCTCTGTGTCTGTCTGTCTCTAAATGTGTCCTTTGTATTGAGACAGCCGTCCTGTTAGAGGAGGTTCCATCTGCATGAGCTCACTTGACCACCGTCAGCTCTGAGAAGACCTTTCCTTTGTCTGTAAGGTCACGCCGAGGTACTTGGGGTTGAGACTCCAGCACCTGACTCTGAGGGGACGCGATGTTACTCCTCACACCCTACAAAGGCTCTAAAGTAAGAACACACTGGATTGTTCTAAGGATGAAAGGACGGCCTGTGTAGCTACTGGGGGTGAATCCAGGGGTGAGGAGAGCAGGCCACTAGGGTAGGAGCCAGATCAGGTGGGGCCTTGTGGGCCTGTGAGAACTGTGGCTTTGCTGTGTTCGGGGAAGGAAAGGCCCGGAAGGCCCTGAGCTGGGTGCCTCTGGGACTTTGTCCCCATCATCACAGAAACATGGAAACGGAGGCTCCCTGCTAGGTGCTGAGATGCTGTTGATGTTCAGGCCCATGGCTCTGCTCCTCTGCCTCCACCCCCCTCGAATAAACAGGGAACCCTAACCAGGTACAAGGAAATAAGTGAGAATGGAGGGGCGAGTGGTCAGGTCCCTTGCAGTCATGGGCTATCTCTCTATCCCTCGGTTCCTCCTCAGTGGTCAAATGAGGTGACAGTAACCTAGCGGGTTATTTGAGGTTTGAATTCTGTGATCCTTGCATGGTGCCATCCCAGGCCCTGGCAAGGACATGACCGTCCCAGTAGTTTCTGCTCTCTGTTCTACTCTAGGCTCTGGGCAGGGACCAGGGCATCTGCTGACAGTGGAGGCCATGGTGTGAGAAGGGATGGGAGGAAGGTGGCTCCCAAAGGTGAAGACACCCGGGAAAGATACCTGGCAGGGCGTCTGAGGTCCAGGGCAGCCCCAGGGTCGAGGCCAGATTGGTTAGCACAGATCTGCACTCAGCAGCCCTGGTCTAAGATGGGGGGATCTGCAGAGCATGGGCAGTGATGGGGCCAGGGAGCTGAGGGGTGGGGTGGGGCCCAGTGTTGGGGGAAACCAAGCGCAGGACTGTCCCTGTCTGTGCTGGGAGAGGACCAGAGCCCAGCCACTGGGCTGTGAAGCCAGGGGACCCACCCTCCCTCCTGAGTGCTCCCAGGGTTTCAACTCCCTCT